CTCTCTCTCTCTCTCTCTCTCTCTCTCTCTCTCTCTCTCTCTCCCCCTCACATACACACACAAATGTAAAGACAAAAATCCCAGCCATTGACATGATGCAGCAGAAATAGATGAGGAAAACATGAGCAGAAAGCACTTGCCTCATGACAACTACTGCTGAATTTAAGTTGATTCTTTGGTTTCAAAATATATTATTTTCAGGTCGTAATTTCCTTCCTGTTCATGACACATAAAATTCCAACTTTAGGGCCTTCATTAGCACCCATAAGCTATGCAAGCGAGCCATTCTCCTAAATCACCAAAAGAAAGAAGGATCAAGAAAAATCTCCACCATATCTACGACTGTCATTAGGTTCCAAAAAATATCTAGCAAACAGTACGAATGGCATTTCCTTCTCTTCCTACAAAAGCTTTATCACAAGTTGAGTCTCCACTTTTATTCTTCCAAGGAGAATTTTGGTCAAGTTCCTTCTTATCTATATCAGATTCCCAACATCCATACCCTTCACAATATTTCAACAAGGATATGAACTAAAGATAAAAGCAAGAGCAGGGCATCAAATTCCTCACCTGGGACACAAAGATTGGCGAACTTGGGTTGATCCTGCTTCTAGTAAGGGACCATCCTTCTCTATTAGCAAGCCAAAATCTGACCACCAACAGAGCACAGACGGTGAGGATCAGCAAGAAGAGGGTGACTAATCAGTAAAGAGAGAAAACGAAGACGACAGAGATTAAGATCGTCATAGAAAGGTGACTGCTCGTCCTATAGAGAAGGGTAATAAGAAATGAAATGTAAAGGGAGGGTTAAGGAGAGCAGCAGAGGAGAAAAAGGCACCTCCTTTCCCAAGTCCGTGTGAGCTTTTTCCCTCTGTTTTCCGTTTATGCATTGAACAGCTGCAGGTGCCTCACAGGGAAACGAAGACGTCCAGCAAATCACCAGCAACAACTGTAACCCCCCAATTCGCCATTAATGACAGCAGCAGCGTGTGAGAATTAAATAACTAGAGAAGGAAGCAACCCAAGAAAACCAAATCCAAGACGTCGACATCAGCTGTGGGAATGCCACCTGCTCCCCACCCCCATGTGATTCATGACCTCAAAGTCCGATATTTCCTTTAGAACACATCCCAAAAGCGGATTTTTAGTCGTACGATAACAAAAACGACGGATTCCTTTACCGCCTCGATTAACAGAAACGAGAAAATTACAACGCATTGGCCATATCTACTCTCTCTTTGTTCGATTTTGTTCTTTCTTTTGTGCTTCATTTCGTCGCCTCCTCTTCGGTAAAGATGAAAGACAGAGAGGTAGGGGATCCCGGTCTCCTCGGCCTTCTCTACTCAAAGCAGAGAGAGAGAGAGAGAGAGAGGGTGCCGACCGTGCGCGGGTGTGTGGTGCGTCCACCGCCCAGCACTTTGTCCCCACATCAATCCCCTGTTTCGTTGCTTGTTTCCGTTGTACTTATTTAGCTGTCAGAGACTTCAACCACGATTCACGACCCCAAGACGGGGCTCTGTTGGATGACCAGCATTGAGATGTCAGAACAATCATAATGAGCAGATTATGATTGTTCTGCTGCAGTCAATTTGCTCTGTGACGAAATTTAATGTGTGTGGGCGGCGAGCAGCGGGAATTGAGGTGCATGTTGGCAGATCACTTGCAGGGTGGTGATGTGAGTCTGTCACCATGTGGATCACAGCAACACAAACCTGCTCAACGAAAAAGACAAAGCATTTGGATCATCGGCCAAACTTGTGGGTTGACAATCCTACTGTGTGCATTGTTTGCTCTCAGCAGTTGTAATCCTTAAAGCAGAATACCTCAAGATATCCTGTGAATCATGTTGCAGGCAAGCATAATCATCTCCGGTGATGCTTAACCAGTTGTGAAGGTGGCATTCACAACCCATCGTCTCTTTTCCGGGGAATGATGGTTGCTTGTGATGGAAACAAAATGAATGCTTTCGACTTTACCGTCCACATGGCAGTAATTTCTCATTATGCGATGTCTTCCAATAATGCCTCTGAATCCTATTAAATAATGAACTCAATAATCATGATTTGGCCAACATTTATTTCAGAGTTTAGATTTTGCGTGCTGATTGAATGATATCCCACCTTTTCGTTTGCTTAATCGGATGGGAAGTAGAAATCAGGGCATGCTTGTTCCTCTAGTTATCATGCTCTGCATCAAGCTTAGGCACAGAGTTCCATGCTTAAGGCTAAAATATCCCATGACTCAGCTCTCAAGATTGGAATTTGATACTCTTTTAAGTTGAAGAGGATGTTCCTGTAGCCTAGATTGACTGCTTCTCCCGATGAACCAGCCAAATACGTTTTCATTCGATTGACTTTCTCCTACTATATTTTTCTGGTTGAATCAAGTAAGTCATCTTTTTGGTTTGATTCAAGTAGGACTTCTCTGCTTGCTTCTGATAGCAGACAGGTTGTTCTTGAAACTTTGGTTCTGCTCAGACAATTGGGTTTCCAAGCAGCTGATATCTAATGTTCTGATAACTCAGAGCACATTGTATTTTTAGCTACCAGATATGAAAATGAACAACGATAATCATCAAATTTTTTTAAGCATTTGTAATTTGAAGTGTACAGATGGCAATCTAATTCGTAGATCTATTTTTAACTTCACAGCTAACAAGTGAATGCAGGAGCATAATTCTTCGAAGTCGAAACATGGAGATAAGGAAGTATATGGGGAAGAACTCGTCGTAGTAACAACATTCTCCACACCATTGAGTTTATTGAATGGATGATGAACTCTCCTTGTTTAGGCCGCACGAGTCATATCCAGGATTCAAGGGTGTAGTTGTACTTGAACGAGTTCACCCCGCTGATATGTGCAAGGATGTCAGAGGAGTCGAGGATGTCTTCCTCCTTGACGACCGCCTGCACGAGCAGAGTCGCTGAGATCTGAAGTAACTCTCCATAGGAATGATATCTAGATAGGCAGGCTGAGAGCTTACTTCTTCGTCGTCGTCGAATTCATGGCTGCTGGAGCTCAGTCTTGCCACCTCTCCGAGCTCGTCATTCTTCGCAAACCTTCCCCGGACTCGAGGTCGGCTGTCTGCTAAAGTTTTCCGACATGCATACTGCGAACGCCTTTCGTCAGCTCGAATCGCTGCCCCAACTCGACATGAAATGAGATCGCTTTAATTTACCTTGATCTTCTTGCTGAAGTTTCTTTCGTTGCGCTTCCTCATGTACCGGTGGATCTTCTCCTTCCTCTCCTCCACGGACAAGCGACCAACTTTGTAGGCGGAGTCATCCAACGGTGCGACGTCGGATGTCGGCAGCGGCGCCGGGGGCTGGTTGCCACTGCATCCTCCCATCAGATGCTGGCTGCCTCCGCCAAGAACCTTCATAGGAGAAACAATATACTAAATCTTCCGAGAGGGCAATGCGGGGAATAGCCATAGTTCTCAGCCAACAAAGCTGGATCTTTTCATTGCACGAGTACCAGATTTAGTTTTATGGTAAAGGAAAGATGAAGAGGGAATGGTTATGAACACAAGAAGTTCTTGGAGTAGATCAAACACAACAAGGCATTGTGTCGCAGGTACCTGCAAGTCGCCGGAGCTGTACATGTGGGGCATCGCGTCCTGGACGTACGGCCCCAGACCGCTGCTATCCGACACGTTGACCGGCCCCAGCACCGGCATTCCTCCACCGGAGAGTCCCTGCGGCCGCTCGCCGCCGTACAGCATCCCGCCGCAGTACAGCGCCCCGATTCCAACCCCTTCGATGAACCCGCACGGCGGCGCTTCCAGCCTCACCAGCTCTGACGACTGCTGCATTCCCCCCGCCGCCGAGTAGCGCTCCTCCTCGTACGCCGCATGAGGGTGCTGCTGCTGGCTCGCTGAGGGCCCCGCCGCCGGCACCGGGACCACCAACCCGTGGTCGAACGGGTACTCGCTGGAGATGACATCCGTCGTCACGAGCTGATCGAACGGATCCCCCGAGTACGGAGGTGGCGGGACCGAGAGAATCGCCGGAGGAGGAGGGGGGTTCGAGGACGAGGAGGAGGAGGAAGGGTAGTGGGCGAGGTCGGGCTCGGGATCGGGATCGGGCCGGGGTGGAGAGGCGTCGAGGAGGGCGTAGAAGGAGGGGAAGGGGGAGAAGGAGGCGTCGTCACCGGGGTAGCAGCAAAGCGGTGTGCTGGCGGCCGTCGTGGCGGCGGCGGTGGAGGAGGACACGTCGTCATAAGGAGCGAAGAGGATGGGCTGGTGCTGCTGGTGATCGGAGCCTGGGAAGAGGTCGCCGGCCGCTCTCCCGTCGTCGTCTTCGCAGAAGTCGAGAAGCTGAGCGGCGATGGGGCTGGAGATACCCTCCTGCTTCCAAACAACACACTATTCTATAACCAGCCATAATAATTTAGAAAAAGATTCTTATCTAAGAAAATATGAAAGATGGAAAACAAATAAAGAAGAAAAAAGGTAATATATTTCTACAAATCAGAAACATAAAACAAAGCTACTCCTAGCATTTATTTTCATATTTAACAGATAGTAACCTTTCTGCATAAATACTGCCAAGAATTGTTTGAAGTATAACATTCATTCCAAGTCCATTTTAACTTGGGTCAACAAAGAAGTCAATGAGCCCGTTGACCTCCGTCTTCCTTCAGAAAGGTGCTTCGCGAGCAATGACGGGCGACGACAACGAGTTCACGACACTACACGGAGATCTCCTGTCGACTTGCTTCATGCATGGCGGATATATATATATATATATATATATATATATATATATATATATATATATATATATATACACACACATATATATATATATATATAGGTACATGTGTACGTGTACATATGGATATGCGGCCTGCATGGAAGACACGTGAGGAAGTGAAGATTTACGTTCACGATATGTTCAAACAAAGCACCTCGACCAGCCAAAGTGAAAGATTCTCCCACATTAAATTCGTTCCGGAGTTGTCCAAATCAAGCAGAATCGGGACGCTTTACCGTACTGCAAGGAGCTTGTGTTCTTAATGGGCATCATGTGGGGATGAGAAAGCTTAGAACAGCCCTTCAAACAGGTATATGTTCTTGACGACTGGTATCTCTGTTTTATCTCTCCTGATTAATGTAAGCCTCACAATGCGTGTTTTTTGAAACATCCGAATCATTTTAGTCTCCGGTAGAGAGAAAATGAAGTGAAATAGAAACAGCATTACGACATCAACTGAGAGAAAAAAAGAACGCACACCCCATATAAGCCAATAGCTTATAAATGGAGGTCATGCTCGAAAGTTGTCTGAAAACAACGCTGAAAAGCTACGCTACCAACTTTAGGAGATGGATGACATGCATGGAAACAAGAAGAAATCAACGTCATACAAGTTTTGGTGGAGGAGGATTCACGAGACCTGAAGCTATTTGAAGCTCTATAATTCCACGGAGTCCAAGAACAGAAAGCTAAGAGAGAACGATCTTGCAGTTCGATTTCCAAGAGAAATGCTCTCAAAGCAAACAAGGAATTTAGAGGAAAGAAACATGATCATTCTCAACGCATGTCAGCACAGGGAATCGACTACATAAATACGAAAAAGAAGAGATGAAAATGGAAGGAGAGTTTCTCATGGCTTACAATTAAGAGCCCCTCGGGATTCTGTTCAATCATGTTCTGCAACATGCCTCTTTCACCGACTCTCGATCCCCGGAAGAAGAAGCAATGAGAAGAAGAAGAAGAAGAAGAAGACCTAAAGCACCGCAGCAATATTTTTGTTCTCCTCGGAGCGTTCTTACTGATAGCCTAAGATCACCTTATTCTCCCCTAGCAAGACAACTCACACCTCCAACAAACCACACAACTCCATCGCTACATATATAGAGAGGCGAGAGAAAGCAGGAGAGCTGTTGGCTTATTATTATGACTGCCTAAAAATGGCGTGGCGAGAAAAGATCAAAACACGAATCGAGAGAGAAGCAGGAAGCGGGGCAGATAACGGAGCGTTCCTTGTACGGATATACGTCGTGAAAGGCTGGGCTCCGAGCTTGACGGTGGACCGCAGGAGGGCAGACGTCCGTTTGCCACGTCGACGTCTTGGAGACCCTTGGTCAAACGTTTCAGGTCTTCTTGTTTACGAAAACAAGAAACAAGCATATTCTTTTGTTTCCTGAGTTGTTTACGAAAAACCGGCAACAAAACCAGATTGTTTTTATGATGCTTAATTGCCAAACTTGCAATTCCCATTCCGAGCTTATACACTAATTACCGAATGCCCATTTCATTAATCATGGTTAATTCTTTCACAAGATGGAACGACATAGACAAATCTAATGCATGGAAACAGAAGTCTGCTGAGAGCAGGGAGGAACCAATTCCCATCAGTCCCTCAAAAGGGCTTCCACTGTCTGTTTCAAAGCTCGAGAGGTCACACGGCCTGCAACTGCAACTGGGGGAATCTGCAAACCATTCGGACGAGTTGTTCTCTGTTGGCTAGGAGAGGTGACACAGCGGAGGAAATAAGAAAAGGAAACGAGAGGATCGACACAGATATCTCGTGAAGTGGCTGCTGCCGCCCCTTTAGAGCTGCACTGGAATCTCATGCCCGCCCTTGTTAGAACACGCCATCCATGGACATGTGCTTGCAACACCTCCACTTGCATGGTTATACCGACAGAGGTTTAGAACATGATGATCTCTGCTTCTGGGGGCTGGTTTGATTCACCAGTTGGGCAAAGCTCGGCATGCAGCACAAGCCATGGATATGTTCTGACTGCTGACAAGACATGAGATCCCTATGATTCGTCTGTGCCAAAACAATAGTTTTATTATATATATATATAATTATTCTGTTAAATAAAATCAATTGGCCTATTAGCTCAGTTGGTTAGAGCGTCGTGCTAATAACGCGAAGGTCGCAGGTTCGAGACCTGCATGGGCCAAATATATATTTTTGACATTATAAATAATAAAATTTATAATATAATTAAATTATAAATAATTTATATCATATGATATCTTTTATTTATATTTTAGTACATAGGGACCAATATATTATGGTTGTTTGGTGCACAAGTCAGCAATGAATAATGCAAATGGTGTTGGGAATGAATACTGCTGTCCAAATAAATTGGGATCCTGTTTGAGTCATGCATTGTTCAAGCCACTGTAAGAAGCCTGAATGAGAACAAGCTTCTCACAAGAGCATAAGCAGCAGTGGGAGATATCTAAGCATTGCAGAACTCAATGTTTCAACACAATTAATTGAGAATTAGATGAGATCCACAGCACATACAACCAAAATTTACCCTCAGCATGTATTCTGTGAAAAATAATCTCCATGAATCTGTGTAGGCTTACATCTGTATTGTAAGGACATTATATATATATATATATATATATATATATATATATATAACATGATGAAGAAGAAACAGAGAGCATCCCCAGCAGTGAGACCAGATTGGATACAGCCATTATTCCATTGCTTTCTCCCCACCATCACTTGTTGGATGGCAAAACCACATGCCCAAAGCAAACAGCCAAATCCATCTCCTCCCTCTCTGCATCCCATCCAGTCCACCACCACCCCCACATAGAAGACAAACATCCACCACCACCACTCACCATTTACCCTTGACAAAGGACAAGCGTACATAGGCACCCCTCCCACTCCCCCACCATTACTCTTCCCCGCCTGTCACCCACCAACCTTCAATAATCTGCAGTAGATGAAGACGGCAGAACACAACAAAGAGTTACATGCACGCTTGTGCCATCTCTGACATCTTAAGTCTCTGCAATGAGACCAAGTGGGTTTTACCAGCGTTACTCACCTTCTTTCTTTTTCATCACACTCCTGGCAAACAACAGGCAGATGATGAAGAAGCCCACTCCTGCTGCCCCTCCCACCACTATGGCCACTGTCTTCCCTGTTTGCCCTGATCACCAAGAACCAGTCCATCCATCATCACTGCTTTTGGAACAAGGCCATAACATGTTTCCTCCATAGAGAAAGAGCGAAGTCTATACCATTCTTAATAGGCAAAACAATTAATTGAACACCTCAAAAAGAAATCTTTTCAGATCACAAGTATCGGAGAAAATAATGAAAAGGAAACTTCAGATCCATGCAACTATCGTGAGGTAAAAGGAAACAAGAAGTCAGATGCAAGATATGAACAAGAGAAAACAAGGTGAAAATGAAATCTAAAATCCATGCATCACTATCATAAGATTGAAATCAAATGCAATGTGAGTTACGGGGGCAAAAAAAAGATTACTCCGAGATTATGTGAATCAGAGAAAATGAAAGATTAAAGAGCTTCAAATCCATATGTAAATCGTCTGTGAAGATTAGCATAAGAAGAAGAGGAACAAAAATGGAATTTTTAGTACTATTAACGGTACTCACCTCGAACGCTGCCGCCGCCGCCGCCGCCCCCGGCGGTGGTGACGCCATTGGCGTAGTAGCTGTAGCTAATGTAGCATTTGTCGAGGTAGACCTGGCCAGAGGCGGCGCCGCCGCACTCTACCTCCGACTTCTGGATGGCCTGGGCCACGCAATCGCTGCAGTCGCCGGTGGAAAGGTCGCCCTCGCACTGCGCCATGGTGTAGACGGATCCATAGCTGGTGGCGTAGAACCCTTGCCCGCCGGCTACGCCGCTCTGGAGCTGGCTGAAGGCCGTGTCCCGCTTAACCTCGAAGTCGCCCCCGCCTCCGCCGGACCCGCATGTCTTGTAGAGCATCTGGGTGCCGGAGACCTGCGGGAAGCCGGACACCTGGTACATAGCGTAGCATCCGGCGAGCTGGACGCGTGCGGCGGCGGCGTCGCCGCAGAGAGACGACCACATGGGGGGGAGGCGGCCGACGCAGTCGGAGCAGTCGGAGGGGGAGAGATCGCTGCGGCACTGGAAGAGGCCGAAGATGGACTGGCCGCCGTAGGCAGAGGCAGTGGTCTTGTAGAACTTGGAGTTGGAGGCCTGGGCGGTCAGGGAGGAGGAGAGGGCGGCCAGGGTCTGGCCGTAGGCAGCGCCTCCACCGGAAAACGTCTGGTTGGCGCAGCCCTTGTAGACCAGGTTGTAGAGGCTGCCGGCGGCGGCTGGTGACAGGCGGGCAAGGCAGAGTACTGTGAGGGTGAGGGCAACTCTTAGCAGTGGAAATGCGAATGAATAGCTTGGAGGAGAAGTGTGGCGGCGGTGGTGGGCTCTGGGGATGCCCATCTACTACGAAGTGGCTTTTTCTCTCTCCTTCTCCCCCCTATCGCGTCTCTACTTCACAGTCTCTCTCACTACGTGCAAGAGTGAACAAAAAAGCCTAATTTGACAGTAGAAACAGCCAATGATGAGTTATTTCAGGGTTCCAAAGGGAGAGAAGAGAGGAGGAGACATGGGGGAAGGAGGGTTCCGGAAATTAATCTCAGCCTGTCGAGGTCATGTTCATGAGAGTGCAGCGAGCTGTGAATAAAGTACTGCGGCAAGAGGCATGGATGCGGTGATGAGTTGGTGGTGAACGGGGCCAGCAAGGAGAAGTATTCCGAGAGCAAGAGTCAAGTCAGAGGCGGAGGCTGGAACGCAGGATGGGTGAATGCATGGTTTGACTCCATGCCTCACAGTCCACAGTGCTCGCTGAACCAGGGAGGAAGGAATGGGGTTCTTTCCGCGAGCCGAGCTTGATATTTACGCCTGCAGCAACTTTTTCTCGCCGATTCATGGACTCGGGAGAGCGGGGAGCGGAGTTGTCAGAGGCTCTCCCAGTTAAAACAGCGAAGAAGGCCTCTTTTCTTTTTTTTCTCTGTACTGCCTACTCCTCCGCCTTTCCTTTTGCTGGTGTCGCCGTCGCCGTTCCCGAAACTGGTTTCTTGCGGTGGGAGGAAAGGACCTCGAGGTGGTAAAACGTGACCTCCATTGGGATTTGGCGCATGGGATTTGGGAAAAGTTGCATCGCTCGACTGTAGAGACACTCGGCCATCATCATCTTCTTCTTCGTCTTCGTTTCCGAAGGGTTGATTTTTCCCAGTGCACTATCATCGTAGGTTCCGCTTCAAGGAACTCACGAAACGCTCTTGTATCAGTAATACTGCATGAAAAGGAATGAAGCCATAGTTTTGGGGAAGTCTCATCCTCGATATGACTTATGAATATTATTATTATTATTTTCAGTGGGGAGATAAGAATGATGTATGACTAATATATCAGGGCTAATTATACATAGTTAATTTTTTATTTTTAATATATTTTTTAAAAAATATATTGATATTATTATAATTATAAAAATAAAATATCTATATTTATTTATCATAATATCATCGATTTTATTAATGAAAACATAAAAATAAATATATAAAAAAATAATTTTAATATTTTATTTAGTGACTTCGGACGATGTTGATAGTGACAAACAACGATGTTGCTGAGGGCCGCAGATGACTGTTGTGGATGAGGAGAGTGATAATAAAATATGAAGGTCACTCAACATCTACATCACCGGTGAGAGGTGAGCGTTAGTGCTAATACAAATACCGAGCGATCCCTTCGTTACTCAACAATTGTGTTGATGTTGACATAGATACATAGTAGTTTTCACCTCTCATCTTACTCCCCTCATTCCCAACAACCATCTACGACTTTCAATGACGTTGTCATCCGCCACCATCGATGTAGTCTATCATCATTAATTAAAATATTAAAATTATATTTTATTTTTTATTTTTATATTTTCATTAGTAAAATCGATGGCGCTGGTATAAATTGACCTCAATAGTTTACTTTCATTACTATAAAAAATACTAATATAAATTTTTAAAATATAAAGATCAAAATATTAAAGATAACCCAGAACATACAGAATTACATTACCCCATTATTTAATTAATCTCAAAGGGTAACTCATCATTTTTAGAAAGATTTACCTCAGATCCGAGGGAGATTAAAATAAATGCCCTCATCATCTTCTTCTAACTGCAAGCGATGGAGGAACGTAAAATGTTCTCATCATCTTCCGATCCTCTTTTTTCATCCTATTTTTTCTTCTCCTAATCACGAGCAATGAACATTAACGGGGCATTGGGTGATAGTGATATCGGACGACATTGAATGACGAGCAACAAGGGAGGACGAGCGGCATTAAGCAGTTGTGAAGAAAAAGAGGGGGTAATCAAGAGGCTCTAAATAGTAAAATTATATTTTATTTTTTTTAAGGATTATCAATAGTAAACTTTTATATTTAAGATGATGAGCACTCTCAGCAGTGATCTAAAATGTATACAATAGCATATTCAATTAGAAGGCATCAAATTTTAGTCTTTGCACAGAGAGTTTCTTTTTCCCCAATCAATCATCTTGATCTGCCATATATGTACAATACATTTTTCTGGCATTATCTGTCTTCCATCCTCTGTTCCTCTTCTACTTCTTGTTCTTCATAAATCAGCGTCTGAGATGACCAAACATCTCAAGATCAAACTATTAGACAACCAATGAAGAAACTGTGGCTGAATGCTAAGGAAAGAATCAGTAATGGCAAAAGCATCACACTGAAGTATACAAACATCATAGCACGACACACGACAAAAACATGAAAGAACACTGAAACGCGAGTGTTCAAACATCATCATGTTGCGCAGAAGTTATCCCTCGAGTCACAAAGGTTGTGGTAGTGGTCAAAGGAACATTTAAAGTTCATTCAAAGGAACAAACAAGATTGCATTGAACGTGGCCCTGCATTGACCGATAAGAGGTCCTTTCCCTACAAAGTTGACAAGCCTAATCTCCTGCTAAGTCACAAGTCAAGAAAGAAGAAAGCCTAATGGTACAGTAAAAAGAAACATGGATAGAATGGAAGAACATCTAAGAGGATGTGTCGAATTTGTAGTGCTTATCGACAGCGACGGAGACATCCCAGGTGCAACTGAGTCCCTTGGGGAAGACGGCAAGGTCTCCTGCGCCAAACTCCATGCACTCTGGGCAACCCTTCGTGTAGACCTTCACCTTCCCTTTGAGGAGGTAGCACGTCTCTTGGGCATCATACTTGAGAGGGAACTTTCCTGGAGGACACCCCCACCTGAACAATAACAAATCAAAGCAAGCAGAAGAATAAACAAAGGAAACACTGCAAGAGACAGAGAGAAGAAGGGATCACATGGTTTACTTGGGCCATGACTTGATGCCAAGCTGTTGTAATCGCGACTCAGGAAGGTTTCTCTCGACGGTGATGGCGAGGCTCCGTGCATCGGTCTCCGTTGCCCCATGCTTTGAGCTTTTGGCCATCGAAGTCGCGGACTGCACAGGAGGAAGAGGAAGGAGGCGAAGCGGCAAAGTTGATGGCAGTTCCTGGACTTGCTCTCATCTACCGTGATGAGAGATGGGGAAGGGGAAAGCAGAGCTTTTGTGTCGAGAAAAGGCTCCAGTCACAGAGGGGAGCGATTTAGTTACCCGAGAGATACGAGTGGAAGTTTACATGTTCGTTGTGTTTGAGATGTAGATCGAGCGGTTGCGGTTCTCGAATTGAATAGTTAATAACTCAGTGAGTCGACTCATGATCATGGGCTAAGTTTAGTGTTTTCCGTCGAGGCTACTAGCGAGCCATGGAGGAAGTTCAAATGTGAGAATGATTATTATTCGTATTTAAAGTAGACATCTTGAAAATTGCCATCCATAAGGAATTAATTTGGGCGTCCGATCTCAATTCCTCGTCAAAGATTTGGGTTAACTCTCAGAGTCAACTCGCCCGAGTCAAGAAAACCGGAGCGAGACAAGGAGGAGATGTCATATCACGAGGAGAGTCGTCAAACCGTTGACTACGGATCCGAGTGACGTGGCAGGACGTCGCGTTCCAGATTGGGCTCGACCCATTACGATCGTTATAATGGGCCGGATCATCATGGAACGAGACCCGTTAATCAGACGTAAATAAGCCTCACCGTCGAAACCCTACAGAGCAGCAGCGGGCGGCAGCGGAGGGAAGGAAGAGGCAAGATGCCGGCCGGGCACGGGCTGAGGTCGAGGACGAGGGACCTTTTCTCCCGGCCATTCCGCAAGAAGGGGTACATTCCCCTCACCACATACCTGCGCACCTACAGGATCGGCGACTACGTCGACATCAAGGTGAACGGCGCCGTCCACAAAGGCATGCCCCACAAGTTCTACCACGGCCGCACCGGCAGGGTCTGGAACGTCACCAAGCGCGCCATCGGTGTCGAGATCAACAAGCAGGTCCGAAGCTCCGTCCCCTCCTCAAACCTCCCCCGTCCTTCACTTGCTATATACGAAGAATGGGATTATCTTTTATGCCGTAAATGTCAAAGGTTGCATCTTTTTCGTTTATGTATCGAGTTTGGGATGTTAGTCTGCGAGCTAATTGATTATGTTGCTGTAGGCTGCCTAAACTCGGGTCGAATAGGAAAGACTTCTCATTGTGGCTTCATCGATGAATTGATGGTTGTTGGCGTGGTGCTACATCAGGTTGGCAATCGGATCATCAAGAAAAGGATCCATGTCCGTGTCGAACATGTGCAGCCGTCCAGGTGCCAGGAAGATTTCCGTTCGAGGGTGAAGAAGAATGACCAACTGAAAGCGGAGGCGAAGGCGAGAGGCGAAATCATCAGCACCAAACGGCAGCCAGAGGGTCCTAAGCCTGGCTTCATGGTCGAAGGAGCTACTCTTGAGACTGTCACTCCCATTCCTTACGACGTCGTCAATGACCTCAAGGGTGGCTATTAGTTTTCTCTTTCTTTTTGACGAATTTTCAGTTCAGCGTTTGATCCTTGTTTTGCTTGAAGATTTCATCTGTGTTTTTGGCAGATTTTGTTAAGAGATTTGTTAGTGATTGGTAGTATCAAACTTGTAGTTGAAGGTTCATCTTATTATTCCCGAAATGAAAGCAATCATCAATTGCTATTAACCCCAACTTTGCAAGAAAGCAATCATCTCTTATCCTTCAGATAATATCAAACACTCATGTGTGTGTCTTCATTTTTGCTCAATTAATATTCTCTTTTTGAAGCAAGCATTTTAAGAAATTAGTCAGGAGAGAAGCATATAAATGAGAAATGATAGAAAATCTATATTGCAAACTAATTTGTTGCTAAAACTCCATTTTAAGTTCATAACACTCTGCATTATGCTCTATAGCAGTAAACATAAATAAACTGAGTATTAATTCAGAATTTAAAAGAATAAAGCAAATATTCATATGCAGTAATAAAATCCAAAGTGACAAACATAAGAACACAATACATCTTGCTAAAATGACATAAAATCAGACTTACTCAAGTGTGCTGGCAGTGGAATACAGGAACAAGAAACCAACCTCTGCATGAGAGGAACTTGAAATAGCTATCTTGATCACCACCAATACAGTTGCAGGTGTGATCAGTACATTCACGTACAGGAACGCAATTCAAGATTATAAGTTAAGCTGATCACGTTCCATGGTGTCACTACCATCTTTCATCACCTACCCTGTTGTTCTTTTCCTTTGGTCCTGTCGATCCTTTCCATATAACTCCATAGGAAGATTATTGAATATATTCTCCGCCGTGCACATGAGATTGAATGGTAAGATGCTAATGATCTTGTCTAATTCTGATATAGAATTTTAGGTTATAGTCTCGCATGTACTGCAACCAAAATGGAGCATACTTTGTGCGGTATCATTCCCCACACCAATTCTCAGCTTATCAGAAGCTTAGAGGTAGTTTCCAGGATGAGGGAAGCTTGCATGCCCACTCTCTGAGTAAACAACTCCCCGTTACCTTCGAAGAACTCCAAGCCACGGAGTATATACTACTGGTCCATTCACCTCTACTGTGCTGAGAAGTGTTAGATTATGTGGCCCTATTTAATTAGGTAAGATATATTATAGATATTATTGGATTCTGATTATAGTTATTGGCCAATAGAAAAGAAGTCCATATTAAAATAGGATTCTTTAGGAGATAACCTTGATGGAAGGAACTCTCCTAATAACTTATCCTAGACCCTCTGCTCTTGCCTATAAATAGACAGGACCTCTAGGGGCTAAGAGAAATATCATCTGTGCGCATCTGATAGATAGGACCTCTAGGGGTCAAGTGCGCATGTGAGTAGTATCTGAGTCAATTGAGAGATTAAGGCTTTTCTCTCAATTTGAGTCAAGTGAGAGATTAAGTTTTTCCCTTAATCTCTTTCTCCCTTAATCGTAATATTGTTAGATCCAATTTATTTGATTTCAATCTTGGTATAAAAGTTTTTCCGCATTATAGATAGTATGATTATAGATTTTATGCTAACAATTGGTATCAGAGCCAAGTTCTTGAGATCAAATATATTAGATCTATTATTGTTATTTACGATGCTTGAATGATTCGTCGGATATTATTGATATGTTTTCTTTCTATATGATTTGCTTTATTATTGATTATGAGCAATGTATAAGGGCCGGGTACCATCCCGTAGCCGGGCATCACGGTCGTGCGTAGGCAGAGGTTCGCAAGGGTGGCGGCATCTCGGACATCCCGCACCGCATGTGAACGCGGTGATTGCAG